CAGATGGAACACCCACGCCCGCCTAAGGCTGGAGGACCCGCAGCCACCAGGCCACCTGGGCGCGCAGCAGGCAAGAGAGGCAGACCTGTGGAGGACCGGTTTGTGGTGAGACGGGGCCCGATGTCTCCGAGTGCACTGGGTGAAGGTGGGTGGGTGGGAAGAGCCGGGTGCCTGCCTGTTAGGAAGCTGGAAAAACAGGCTTCATTCTTCTCTCTCATTCTTCAAAAAGCAAGCGTTACTTTAGTAATACTACTGTTTCAGTGTTCTTTTATCCTATATGAGGTTAATTTATATACCTTCCTTCAAAAAGAATTTATGTAATTTGTAGCAAGTGAAATAGTATTCTTGGCTAATACACGGTAAAACAAAAAAAAATCAAAAAAAAAAAAAAATGAAGGAAAAAAAAAAAAAAAAAAAAAAAAAAAAAAAAAAAAAAAAAAGAAAAAAAAAAAAAAAAAACAAAAAAAAAAAAAAAAAAAAAGAAAAAACTTTTGAACCTCCATCTCGAAAGCGATAGGTTTTTCTTAAATTCGTGTTAACATTGTACTAGTAATGACAAGAGCCATCAAAGTCACTCTTGCCTTCCAGCTGGAGATGCACCGTCTGTTGGTCTCTAGTACTGGTGCTAGTGTTCTCACAGCCCTGCCGGGCACAGGGCCCTGAACCAGGAGAAGCCCCGAGCACATCCTGATGGTGGATTCACCTTCACTCACCCTCCTAATGAACACTTACGGAAAGTCACTGACAAATAGAAACTATGGGGCATTAAAAGACCGGTGGGATATTAACCTTAATTTCCAGAAGACATTTCACTTGCATACACACACACACGCGCGCACACAGAAACACATGCATGCACACAACTAAATCAGACATGGTAAACACAAGCACTGCTAAAACACTACAGGCAGGTAGAGATGTTGCCCAGGAAACAGGGACGTCCTGGCACAGTCTAAACTCCTGCCCTCGGTGGCCGAGTTGAAGCACCAGCTGTCGTCGCCTCAATAAACCTGGCCAGGCCCCTGCGGAGCCCAGGCTCAGCCCCTCCAGGGAAACTGCCTCTCACGCCACCACCCAGCGGGCAGAGTAGGACAGTTGGGGCGGCAGGACGAGACACCAGGGACAGTCGGGGCATAAAAGCGGCCTCAGCTCCCTTCCCATCCTCCATAACCGCCGCCACCCACACCCCACCCATACCCCACCCACAGCTCCTGTCCGCTACGCTGCCTGGGGCGGAAGAGAGTGGACTCAGGGCTCCGAGGATGCCCGTGTTGTCAAAGGCTGCGATTTCCGCAACCACACACAGCCCAAACCCTCGTCTGACCCTACCGCTGCAACTGACAACGACCTATCTGATCCACGTGAGACAAGGACACAGACTCGGGCTCCGAGTACAGAGGGCCACTGTCACTGAACATTTGTTCAAGGCCCCACGGAAACCGGACTGTAAATGAATGGGGACACTCAGGCGTTCTACACGAAATATCTAAAACGTGACCCCGCTTTTCCCGTGGGGCCTGGCATTTAATGCCACTGAGGAACCGAGCACAGGGGAAGAGGACAGTGACCTGCCAAGACCACGCGCAGCTCCGTGACGGGCATGGTGGGCTCGATGTCCGACACTTTCAGCGCCGGCAGGCAGGAGGCGTCCTGAGGCTTGCTCTGCTCGGTCCGTAACTCCAGACCTAAAAGGAGCCAAGACCACGAGCATTCAGTGCCACAACTGAAGGGTTTCACGCACCTGTGTGCTGTCACCTACGTTCACAGATGGCTGGCCAGCCCCTGCCAAGCGCAGCACCTCGGCACCGCGGTTTCCGCGTGCCCACAGGACGCACACAGGCGGCCCTTTTCTAACGCTCGTTCTTCAATCACTTTAACAAAGCGGTTTCGCTGGGGAGCCGCAGCTTCTCACGCAGTTTCCCCTCCGCCCCTGGGAATTTTATACCAGACCGATGGAACTTGTTTTTAAGAGTTTTCAAACCACTTCTTGCTGGGCTGAAATGTAATGACTTTGACACTTATTTTGCATCTGCAGGTATTTTAGCTGCAGGCTTATGTAGTCACGTAAATCTCACAATTACAGCAATGCTTAAAGCCCCATTTCTGTTCAACCAATGACAGGGCAGCAGCCCCTTGCAGGAGGGTCAGGCACAGACCCCAGTCTGCAGAGAGAACCCACCCGGCCGGGCAGGAATTTAAGGACAGATCTGAACAGTGCACGTCTCCCCCAACTATAAACCCACTAGAAAGTTCACTAGGTCTGGGTGACGGTTAGGAAGTTAGTAGGCACAAAATTAAACACCTGACCTTTCTCGTAGATTAGCTGCTTGTCTTTCGGGGAGAGAGAACCGACCATTTGCTTTAGCTTTTCTGCTTCCATCTGTGCCTGTTTCTCATGGTACTTGTCATCCGGTCTCATCGACAGAGTCAGCTTATGCTGGTTATTCTGCAACAAACACGGCAACAAAAACCAAGTTAAAACCAGGTTTTCTTAAAACTGAACGTGCTGACTCAGCCTCCGCTGGTGTGTCTTGGTCCTGTTGTTCCATTCACCCACTTTTAAAATAATGTTGGGAACAGAACTCACCTCAACAATTGTTTTGCAGATGAAAGTATTAATATATAAGCCACATAATATCCTTACACAACCATACCTGCTATGTCAGTATAGAATTTTATATGCTGTTACTATTAGAATTATTATTATGATCACTATGTCTTAACCATAAAATGTATCAACAGTCAACATTTTCATTACACCTTGGGTGTAAGAACGTTTGTAATTTTAAATACTATGAATCTTTGATTTTAGTCTAAATTGAAGATAACACAGACTTCTAAGTTAATTTTTATCTAGTGTTCATTATACTATTGATTTCTGAATGGCTGGAACTAAATTTTCTATTCAATACTTTGAAAATGACAGGTGATTTAATGTGCTTATCTTATTTATTTCAATGATCAAAAACACACACACACACAATGGTCACTTGTAATACTACAAAGAGAGGTGGGAGAACTGAAATGCAACAGAAATTTTACATAAGACAACTTACAACTTAGAGAGAATGTAGGTCATATGTCCGAAGCAGACAACAATCTCACCTACCACAGTAACACCTTTTAAAAAGTTCTACCATATTAATGAGTGTCGAGGAAGGAACATACAACCCAGCACAGATGCCTAGAAATCTAGGAAAACCGATGAACGACACTGAAAGAGTTCAATCGTAAAAATAACCAGAGTATGCATTACGTATAGGTGACTATTCTCACAGTTTACATTATTCTTCTATTAACAAAATATTAATGGAAGAGTGTATGAAGATGTTCCGTTCATACATTCCTATGTAAAACTGCACACATGTAACCACACAAAAACCAACTTGCATTAGAATATAAAACACAGAATTTAAGTAAATGTTAGCATTTAAATTTTTAATTAGAAAATAAGAAATTATGCCACCCATCTATTAACAGAAACTAACTTATATATATATATATATATAGATTACATTCCTAACATTTTTTTCATCATTATAAAACTCAACTCCAAAATTATAGAAATTCCCCAACTTCCTTACCTTAAAATACTGTTTTACTTTTTCTTGCAAAAATTTGGGATTGTCCTTCAGGCACTGCCTGAATTTCACCAGGAGATCTCCCAACTGCAGGAGCTCCACGGGGTCTCCGTCGTGATTCCAGCAGGAGGCTATGTGCTGGGACGAGAGGTTTTTGCGTTCACACGGCCGCACCACACACACTGTGTATCTACACCCCAGTAAGCGCCCCATATTTTATTAAGATCCTAGCTTCTACGCTTAAAAACACCACAGATGATCGTTGATAACAAAAATTAAGTCAATCATTGGTTGGAGAAAAAAAAAAACCCCAAACTCATTAAAACCCTATTTTGTTTTAACAAAATAAAAAGCACAGGTTTTAATTATTTTTAGAAATATTATTACCAACAAATTACCAGTTATCACAAATTCCTACTTATTTAAGGTATCCTGTGTAAATGTGTTTCCCACAAAAGAATATCAAAAAGCCAATTGAGCTATTGAAAGTAAAAAAACCAAAAAGTATATTATAAAAACTAACCAAAAAGTAAATTTATATATATGTGATCCAAAACAATGTAACTTTCAAGGTTCAAATGAAAAGCACCATCAATACCAATCCATATTTTCAGTGCTGTCCAGAACCACTAATTACAGGTCAAAAAGCCAAAACCGAAGAGGAACCAAAGTGACTGAGGAATCACATACCGACGTGAGGGTGAGTCCAAAGCTGGTGGACTGATGCTTCATTTGTATCTCCAGTTTATGAAGCAAAGCTTCAATTCGGTCATCTTCAAATCCTTTCCTGCAGAACACAATGAAGAACTAAGACACTGAAAAGCAATAAAAGTTTTAGAAAAAGGAAGGTAGCGAAGGTAATTGAACAACTAAATGTGAACTAATACATGCACCCTGTCCCACAGAGCGCGGGCCAAGCGGCGCTGCAGGCTCACGCCTGAGGAACAGAGCAGGCCGGGCTTACTCAACGACTCCGTCCACCGTTCTGTCTATGAGGGTCCTGACAGTCTCGACGTCTTGCTCCGCAATCCCCTGCAGGCCGACACTGAAGTAGGCCTCTCTGGTGTAGCCATTGTACCTAGAACGAGAAAACGGAGATGATGCACGAGAACCGCGAGCGTTCATCACCCCTTGCAACGCTCTGCGTTTAAAGATCAGGACGAAGAACCTTCAACTCCGGGCCCTCCACTCACAGCCCAGTAACGCAGTGTTCTCAGACATAACTGGTCACGAGTGCACTGCATCCCCTTAATAGTTCTAAAAAATCAATACAGTTTAAACGCTTGAATTGTAGCAAAATAAATCTAAACATAGAGAACTGCTGAGTTTTATAAAATCTGAAGATTTCTAACAACACTTAATGACCTAACTGTTAAAACAAGCAACAGTATGACATTCTAAGAACTTGGAAGAGCTTTCTTTTTGGGTATTTGGGTTTTTTTGGCCAAATGTCCTTTTCGGGGACCACGGACAGCTGGTGCTGGAATCCTGACACTGTCCAGAGCTCCCTGCCGGGGCCTGGCCGTCCTGTGTGCTGTGAGACCTTCAGCAGCACCCCCGGCCTCAACCCTGCAGTGACAACACCCCAAAACGCCCCAGACATCGTCCCCAGGTGTCGGGATGCGGGCAGCAGAGCCACCCCCAACCGAGAGCCACCAATCTCGCCTAGTGACAGAACTCACCCAACATCAGGGGAAAAGTCTGTGCCGAGCCCAGATTCGATCAAGGCTTTGTAGAAGGGGGAGTTGGGCCCCGCAATCAGCAGGGAGGACAGGAGACTCAACGTGAAGGCCTCAAACGTGTCGGTGATACTTCGTCAGGACAGAAGGGGGGAGGAGGGGAACAGAAGGGAAAATGGTTGGCCCTTATATATGTTTTCAAAGTCACTTAAAATCACTATTCAATGAATACTTTTGCTCTTGCTGAAAAGTCCTGCATTTCAACATTTTAATAATCATATGGGCAAAACAAAATTTTTTTTAAATACTGGGGGTTTTTTGGGTCCCAGAACAAATTTAACTGCATATCAAATGCTTGTCACGTGCTTTCACAGATACTACTTCAGTGGTGGCGTGGCGACAACATCAACCCCATAAAGGAGACAAGAAATTGGAAGAGAGATGGGTGAGGCCACCAAGCCGCAGACCACGCTGGCAGGGCACAGAGTGGCACCTTCCTTTCCTGAACATCCTTCAGGCACGTTCTGACCTGGACTCACGAAATCTCTAGAACTACATAGCTTTGCACGTGGTACATTTTTCCAAGGCGAGTGTTCATACATAGTATTATTCTCACACTCAAAAGGGACCCATGACCTCAAAACAGTCAACGACTGCCGTTCTAAAGCAGTCATCCTCGTCTCTGTAGGAAAGAAGCCTTAAAATGCAAGTAGGAAGTAAATCACTTCTTTTCCAGATGGCTACTGGACATGATTTCCCCCCAAAGCCATTTCAGATGTCATCAAAACCCTGACATTTTGTTCCAGATGGCTACTGGACATGATTTCCCCCCAAAGCCATTTCAGATGTCATCAAAACCCTGACATTTTGTTCTCTAGTCTTAAAACATGCTTGACTCCTGAATCCTAACTGTACGTTAGTTTACACTCGACTGCAGAATTCTCCTCCTAACCTTCTAATCTGGGTATTTTCCCACTGGTTTCCGGCCCATATGAGCTTTAACCACATACACTTACTCTGGTAAGAGGAAGCTAACGCTGACCGTCGTCTGCTTAGCAGGATCTGTAGCAAAGGAATCTGGGCCGCATGTTATCTGGAATTCCTTCTGCAAAGGACATGATGCCTTAAGTACGCACAGAATCTGGGTGGTTTTAACTACTAGGTTACCTGCATTTACAAAATGGTCCGAGACATGCTTTTCATTAACTTCCTTTAAAACAAATAACCATTCTTTAGGCTGAAAAGCTCTTAGGTATTTTGCACAGCCCACAACAGCACTTCAAAACCCTCTTACTAGCACACATCTGAGCACATGAACAGGTATGACAAAAACACGACAGGGCACTCACGGGCTCATCCCAGGGCTTCTGAGCGGGCACCGAGGTACTTGGTTCAATTTTCTGAAACTTGCTCAGTGCTTCTTCATGAATTTGTTCCAGATGCTGGTCTAACGGAAAATTGCCGTAAGTGAAGAACCTAAAATTGAGGGAATGTATTAGTGTATTTCAGTTTAAAAGATCAGAAATCAACAGTGATGGATTTCTGCATGAAGTGGAGGGAATGCAGTACATGGTAATCCCCCTCATCTGAGGTTTCACTTTCCAAAGTTTCAGCTCCCCCTGGTTACCAAGGTCCGAAAATATTAACGTTTTGAGAGAGAGAGAGAGAGAGAGAGAGAGAGAGAGAGAGACACTACATTTACATAACTTCCATTACATTGATATAACTGTTATACTTTTTTATTATTGTTGTTAATCTCTTACTGTGTGTGCCTAGTGTATAAATGACACTATCGGAGGTATGTACATACGGAAAACAGTGTATGTAGGATTCAGTACTATCTGTGGTCTCGGGCATGCACTAGCAGTCTTGGAATGCACCCCCCACATTTCTTTGCTAAATGTGAAAAAAGTCATGTCATTTAGTTTAAAAATGCAGACAAATCAACTCTTAAAACTCCACTACTAAACTTTTAAAATGAGCATTACCTAGCATTACTCGGGTGATAGTGAGTGGCGTGGAACTGCTTCAGCTGTGCCCAGGTGAGCTCCGGGATGCACAAGGGATCGCCGCCGGAGACCACCGAGTACGTGTGGTCAGGAAGCAGTCTGTTCTGAAGGTGCTGTGAGAATATCCTCTCGTTGTCTGTCTTGAAATGAACAGAAAACAAGTAAATAAAATATGTATGTGTAAAATAACATACATACACAGTTACAATACATCAAATTAGTCACATTCTGGAGCACATGCCTATTAACACCTTGCAAATTAAACTGTTTAATGGCAAACAAGGCCACCCGTGCAGGTACCATTATAAACGTGGCCTTCAATTTAATCATAACCTGTGCAGGGGACCCAAGGACTGGCTCTCTCGGATGGGCAGAAACATGTGCTTTCCAACGTGCACTGGGTGAGTAGCGGCTGTACAGGTAAGGCCAGGGCAGGGGCCTCCTCCTGTCCGCCAGACGCAGGGAGAAGCTGTCACCTCACTTAGTATCAGGAGAGTGTCTTGGAAGAAATGACACCCAAATTAAGTAAGGATTAGAAACGGGAGGGAGGAACCAGGGAGCAGCACTGTGTGTATGGTTCGCCCCACACACGGTAGACACGCCAGACAGACCAGGAGGTCTTCAAAGTCACGATGGGACTTGAGCACACTGGCCCAGGACAGCAGTCCTCAAAAAAGGAAAAACGTTCTCAAGACCCCTCTAGATTCCCAAAAATTGATGAGGTCCTCAAACCTGATTGTGTGTGGTTTTTTGATTCTGTAGGTATTTTTATGTGTGTGTGTGTGTACATATATTCATATAATTTTGCTATATTCTAAAGTAATGCTGAGACATTTTAAAGATAATTTTCATTTGTTAACTTGACCCATCATTACACATCACCATAAATATTTTTTTGAAAAATACTTTTCGTAACAAAACACAATTACTGACAAGAGTGGTCCTGCTGTGCATTTTCCGCAACCCTCTTTAGCGTCCAGCTCCGTAGCAGAGGCGGCGCCCTCCGCCTGCTTCCCTGCCTAGTGTGCCGAGGATGGCTCGCCCCGCCCCGCGGCCTCTGGGAAAGCCCACCACACCCCCGGGCAGCAGTGAGTGGCGACGACAATGTCTTAGTACTACGAAAGCACTCTGTATCTCGAAGACCTGCTGCAGGTCAAACGCCCACACCCGGCTGTCCCCAGGCACCATCTGAGAGCTGTTGGTCAGAGGTTCAGGGACCAACAGCAGCCTGGCCTCGCTGTCCCCGTGGCTTCGACTCACATGCTGAGCCCCGCTAACTTGAGGAGTCGTGACCTCAGATGGGAACATTTAATGGAACAACTGAATGCCAACTATCTTTCCAGTGCAACTGTATTTCAATATTTTACACAGGTAAGTTTAACACAATATGAAAGAGGAAGAAAACTTACAAACACTCCCTTCATCTCATTAAAGACAACTCCTTTGAAGATCAGGGGGCTCTGGGGGTCACTCGGATTCTCGTGTTCGAGTCGCCATCCTTCCTGCCTAAACGATGACAAACCATTATCGGATGACAGCAATTCCAATACTGAGCCTGAATCAGGTAGTTGAACCACTACGTACCAGAAATCCAGTTCCCGCAAGCGTGGGAAAAAGACCGCATCCAAGTACACGGACAGCAGGTTCTGGAAATCCCTGGGATTTTGTGTGGAAAACGGATACAGAGTGTAGTCACTGGCTGGGTACGAAGGAAAAGAGAAATTTTACAATACAACAGATTCCTACTGAAATCAACTTACTTTCAAGCCTCATTTCCCTGCAACAGTGAGTGCTAGCTGGCCACAGAGAGTCAGCAGCGATCCGCGCTCTGGGACCTACCTCACCACTCCCCCGGCCCGTCCCCCGAGTCCCACCTTGCCCAGACCCAACTCAGGGTTGGCACCCAAGAGGCACCTGAGCTAATTCTTCAGCGAACACCTGTGTGGCCCAAGTGCCTCTGGAGGCTTCCACACGCCAGGAAAGACCAGCTCATTCCCTGAGCGCACCGGTCTGACCTGCTGCTCCTTGGGTTCCCTCCTTCCCAGCAGGCTGCGTTCACACCACCGGCTGCGCATTCTCCCCAGACGCACGAGGCCCACACTCGTGAGGCCCCATGCTACTGCAGTATTCCCAAAACTGTTCTGACCCTTGCTAGAAAAAAACCTCAAATACCTTTTTCCTAAAACTTCACTTTTTATAATCTAACTAAGATGTGATTTGCTTAAAGGATCAAACTTCTGATCTCTTTCAACTAGACTAGAGACTGGTAAAAGTTACTCTAGTGCATTAATTGTCAAATACCCTCTTTTTTTCTGAGAAACCAACTGAACCCCAGCGGGTGTGCCTCGCAAACCCAACAGTGATTCCGGCCCGGGACGCCTCACCTGTGAAGGCGTTCATGAAGGTGGACAATGACCTGTTCAGCATTTTGAAGAAAGGGTCTCTACACGGGTACTTCTGAGAGCCACAGAGGACCGTGTGCTCCAGAATGTGCGGGACCCCCGTGCTGTCCATCGGCGTCGTGCGGAACTGCACACTGCGGCAAAGAGACACGGACGGGGGAAAGGTTAACCTTAGTACTGGCCGATATGGTGCCTCGAGGGACGATTAGAAACAATCATTTTATCACAATGTCTAAACAAAACGTCTTCTAACTGAAATGTATGAAATTACTGATTCAGACTGTAAAACGATGATGTGCTATATTTAGATGAAGATATAAACTCATGTAGTCTTTTCCTGACGTTTTCAGGATGGCTCTGTCAATAAAAATATAACATTCAAGAGGTATGATTTTAAACTGCTTCACGTACGGTAGCTGTCCTAACATAAACACTCTAGACCACGCCCCTGCAATGCGCCCATACCTGAACAGGTTATTCGTGTCTTCTCTGGCCAGGTGCAGGTACCTTGCTCCCGTGTTGTCATGGCTCAGCTTCACTGCGGTAAGGAACAGTTCTGGAACAGACGTCACCTGAATTGAGAACAGAGTAAGCAGCTAAACTTAGAACAACATTCAAAACGATTATCCTAAATACACTGAGAGAGAATTGGCTTTTCTGCCTTAAATTAGTGCCACCAGGAAGCCAGCAGTTTGGAGCTGAAAAGGACAGAACCATCTTATCCAAATCTCTCATCCCACAAACGAGAAGTCATGACCTAAGAAAGGCTGATGAGAATGTACACATTCTTTCGAGCACTTGCTGTTTGCTGGTATTTTCTAAGTCACACATCTAGTGGCCTTGTCACATAAATCACATACATAAAGCGGTCTGCTAATGCCTGCATAATTTACAGCTGTTAAATTATTCACGTTTCCAAGTTGACTGTGCTTTGTAATAGATGATCAAGGTATTTAAAAATCAGTAGACACAGAGAGATGTCTGCCTAGAAACAGCTTTCACGGTAACTATTCCTCAAACAAGAATCATGGTTTATCACAAAGTAAGTTTCCATGCAATTTTATAAATAATGGAAAACAACCCACCACTCTGGAAAAGGCCCTATTAACAGTAACTTGCATCATGAACCCAGACTAATCCGAGTGGCCTTCGGGGGGACTTTACAAATGCTCCCACTCTGCCTTCGTGACTCACCGTGCCTGGACCTTGCCTGAAAGCCCCCCGGCACTGCCCTGGCCTGGCGAAGGACAGCCTGCCCCCTTTCTCAATGCCACGGCCTCCACAAGCTCCTCCCCCACCCCCTCGGCACTTCTCATCACGCCGGGCCTGCAGCTGCAGCTGCGTGTGAGTCCTTCCAGATCATAAGCTGTGTGCTACAGCCTCGCACCCGCCACAAAGCCACCGGCCAGCCAAATACCCGAACTACATAGTTTTTGGTTATTTTATTAAATAAAAGTGCATTATGAAACGTTTATGCAATAAAACAAGAAACAGATGAATCCATTTTAACATAAACCTAAGTAAATACAGGTCCGTGATCTCTTCTCTGTAATTCTGAAACCCAAACAAGCTCAGAAAACAAAGATTCTGTATAGGGTTAGAGCAAACTATTTGATGGCAAAACCTGACTGAACAGACGTAGGTGCCCTAGCACTGAGTCTTTACGGACCACACGCAGAGTAGCCATCAGATTTGGCTGCAGAAACACGAGAGTGTGTTTGATTACACAGACCCAGCTGGGAGTGCTACCTTCTAAGCTGTCAGGCCTCAAGGGGTTCAGAGAAGGGACTGGGAACCACTTCATCTGCAAGCTCTGCTCAGCTGAGCAGCTACCATGAAACAGGAGCCGTGCTAGGGCCTGGGGACATAGGCTGAGACCCCCAGTCTCAGCTCCCAAGGACCTCACGTGCCAGCAGAAGCCCCACCTGCGCACACGCAGGTTTGGAAAGAGCGTGCCGAGACGGACCCGTACCTGGTTTACAGTGAACCCGTGGATCTTCTCCCCCACTTTGTACTGGAGAGCCCTCTCGCAAGCCCGGCTACTGCTCCACCTCCGTACTTTGTGGCGTGTATTGCTGTATTGAAGAAAAGTCATCCAAGTTAGATGATCCGCAGGAAAACTGCTCGGATAACATAACTGAACAACGGAATGAAAACATAATAAAATAACTAAACACACGCTGAATCTTGCATCTTCCAAAATCTCGCACAGTCCAGAAAATTAACTTCTGCCCATTTTAACAATCTTTTATCTCAACTCAGAGAAAGCTTCATAATATCAATAGTTAAATGTTTAAAAGCTCTCATTTGTACATGTTCACAAAAGATACAAATTTCCCTTGCATAAAAAACAGCTCTCATGCCAACATGGCTCCTTTCCATCCACAGAATCCTCACAGATTTTCACAGTTTACCAAGAAACTCAAACTACTACAAAATCCCATTACATACCTACCAAACTGGTGAAAAATAAAAGCCTGATATGACCAGGAACTCTTTATACACTGCTACCAGGAAGAGCAACTCAAAAAACTTTGGAAAAGCATTCATCATTAATAAGCAAAGTTGAAGATTAGAGATTCATTCCCCTTTATGCCAAGATCCTACGGGCCTTGCACCTGTGCACCAGCACAGGAGGACAAAGAATGCCGGCACTAATCCTAACAGTCCCAAACTCAACCAAAGGGCCAGCAACAGAGAACGGATAAACATGGACTATTCGCTCAATAGCATAAAATTACCAACAAAATGAAAGAACTACAACCATATGTAACAAAGATGTGGGTCACATAACTAGTTGAACAAACAAAAACAATACAAAGCACAGATACGTTATTATTCTAAACAGGTAAGAGTGTATACAGGTGGTAAAAATATAAGGAAAAAAAAAGCAAGGAAATAATTACTGTCAGGTGAATGATAACTTAAGTCAGGTAAGTGATTAAAGGGGAGGGGCGGATAGAGTTACAATCAGGGGCAATCTTAAACCTGGTAATGGTGACACTACTTTTTTTTTTTTTAATAATTATTATCTCAAACTGTATCATATGTTTTATGGGGTTTTCTACATCGACACTGTATCTCACAGAAGTACCAGGGCTGTCCAGAAAGTATCCAGCTACTGTTAATGTGACAAACGTCTCTATTTTTCATATTCCATGGCTGGATACTTTCACACAGCCTTCGTATTTCTTTCAAAGATGACAAATACAGGAAAAAAACAAAAACACACCGACTCGGGGCATTGGCAACATTATGGAGATTCCCTATAATGGACCAATACTTCCTTACTGATTAAGCAAATCCTAGAATTGCGGGATAGAGGGCTTTTTAAGAAGTCATTTATCATCAAGAAAACAATGTTATGAACACGCTGAGAGGCAACAGGAGCCCCGCCCACCAAAGATACATTCTGGCAACCTGCAACACACGTGATGGACGTTTCCGCTGCCAAATTGAAACGCTCCATAAGGCGCCCCAACACTGACTGACACCCCAACACTGACTGACACCCCAACAGCTGACACCCGTGTTCCCCCGCCTGCAATTACAGTCCTGAACTGCACCGCCCATCAGGTAAGGTTTGGGGGATCAGCCTGGCAACCAGACATTTCCCCCCATCTTTACCCCATAAATTGAGGCATCAGAAAAAGCTCAACTCCCGCCGCCTACGGTTCTACCGAGCGCGGCGGCCTCGGGTCCGTGCAGGGCTCAGCCTCGGGGCACAAGGAAAGGGGAGCAGACCGGGGTCGAGCACCTCCCCGCTTCTCCCGCCCGGGCAGGGGCGGCACTCGGGGGCACCCGGGAAGGAGCCCGGGCGCGGGGACAGGCGGGACCCCGACGCCGACCGCCCGCCGCACCTCCGCGCCTCCTCACCCGCCTCTCAGCCTCCGCAGCGGGCCCAGCGCCCTCAGGGAACCGCAGCGCCACATGGCGTGTGACCCGCGCGCGGCTGGGCTGGCGCAGCATTTAACGTCACGCGCGGCGCCGGCCGGGGCGCGTCGGCCGCGACTCCCATTGGTCAGCGCCATGGCGACGACCTCTCCGACAGGCTGGAGAGGAAATGGGCGGGGGCCCCGCTGCGTCGGGGCGGGCCTCGAGGGCCGAGGGCAGGAGGGGCGGGGCCGGCGTGCCGAAAGGGGCGGGGCGAGGCGAGGGGCGGGGCGTAGTGCGGAAATGGGGGCGCCCGGCTTGCGGCGGGATGTGGACGGATGGCAGGCGGGGCCGCAGGGTTGCGGGGCGTGCTCAGGCGAGGGGTGAGGCCCAGCATGGAGGGGCGGGGCTGTGCAGATGAGGGCGAGGCTGTGCAGGTGCGATGTGGGCGTGGTCAGGGCGGAGCTGTCCGGGAGTGGTTGTGGGCGTGGTCACGGGGCTATGCAAGTGGTGGGCGGGGCTGTGCAGGTGTGGTGTGGGCGTGGTCGTGGGCGGGGCTGTGCAGGTGAGGGCTCCAACAGGGCTCTCTGGTGGGCAAATGACCTGCTCCTAGCGGATGAGTCATCACAACATCTCTGTGATCTTGGGGGAGACAGTTGTGTGTTATTAACCTAATTGTGAGTGTGCGGGGAAACTGAGGCACTGGTAGGTTATAGTATTTGTGTTGCTTTGAAGAACAGATGCTACATAAATCCAATAATTACAAGTGTGTTCTCATAGGATACAATCTCACGGATGGATAAACTTAAACATATACACAAACAACAAGCAAGTATCAATAATTATTTTGAGTAGTATTCAACCTAATTTTAACACTTACATGGTAGTCTCAGTTTATGTTAAGACAAATAATTGTAGAAATGAAAAATCGGAAACTGTCTATGTGTACTTTGCCATGTTACAAAAACATGTCCCGTGCTACAGTGAAACCCATTGTTCTAGTAGGATTAGCAAGTGAGTTTTTTTTTTAAAAAAATCAGAATAGATTGTAACTGAGACTTAGAAGGGCAATCGAGTGAGTATTGGGGTGTCAGAGGTTGAATTGTGTCCCCCCCAAAAGACATGTTGGAGTCTTAACCCCCGATCCCTCAGAAAGCGACTTACTTGGAGACAGGGTCTTCATAAAGATAGTCAAGCGGAGATGAGGTCAGGAGGGTGGGTGCTACTCCAATATGACTATCGTCCTTATAGAAAGGGAAACTGTGGACTCGACAGCATATATACAGACACAAACAGTGTGAAGATTAAGGCAGAAATCTCAGGATCCGGGTGGTACTTCTACAAGCCAAGGAACTCCAGGATTGCCAGCAAATTACCAAAAGCTGGGGAAGGGGCGTGGAGCAGACTCTGTCTCAGAGCCTCGGGAGGAACCAATCCTGCAGACACCTGGGTCTCGGGCTTTCAGCCTCCAGAGCTGTGAGACAATAACCTCTGTTGCTCTGAGTCGCCCAGTTTTGGGCACTTCTGTTACCGCAGCCCTGGCAAACAAATACAGAGAAGTCAAGGCCCTTCTGCCTCTGAAAGAAAAATAAGAAAGTGATTAAACCAAACGTGGTGTTTTCCAGGATTGCATTGCATTGACATAATACATACTTTTGGAAATCCCTTATTTCTCAATCTATCATAAACCCCAAGTGGTGATTGTTGGTAACTAAAAATAAGGTATTAGCTCAGTGCCTCCAAATTTAGGATTATAGAAATGTATAAAATGTTGGCAAACTCAGTACTGATAATGCAGTATAAGAAAAAACATTTTCATAGTTCTCAGAAAACCTAGCTTCCAATCCTAGCACTACTCACTTGTTTTCTTTCTTTCTTTCTTTCTTTCTTTCTTTCTTTCTTTCTTTCTTTCTTTCTTTCTTTCCTTCTTCACTCCACAAATAGTTATTGTGTCACCTATTTGCCAACCACTGAATGTTGCTACTGATAAACTTGAATAAAACATTCTTTCTGTTTAATTTGTAAAAACTGGGCTCACCTGCAAAAAGAGAGGAGACCAGAGTTTCTTCAAGTTTACTTTTGACCCTAGAATTCCGTAGTTTTATTATCTTGGGTCTTGTGACATTGACCACGGCACTGACCTTAGCCTTCAATTTATCTTCCACCTGTTTAAAGTGACCCATTAAGAAACTCAAATTGGTTTGGCTGATTTTGATTTCATTTCTGCTTCTATAGCTATGTTCCGTGATATCTGCTTTTGATGGAAATCAGCTCTTCCCCTAAGTTTAGTTTAATTTGGGGTGTTTTAAGTTGTTTTAGAAAATGTAAGATGATAAGATTCCTCTTGGCTAATATTCTTAATAATTTTTTTAAACTCTAAGAAATTATATATACACGTATGTTTCTTTTTAAAGGCCACGATTACTCATAACTTTTAAAAAGGGTACAGTAACAATGGGATTTTTATTGTTTTATCTATCAGATGTAACTGCTTCATAAAACAAAGGCTAGTGAGGTTTGTGAAGTTGTGGTGATCAAGTATTTTCATACTCTGAGTCCTGTGTAACACTACATATTTTATGTTTGCCTTTTTAAAAGCACTTTAGCATTATTTATACAGATTTTAAATACATATACTTTTTCACCAGAAATCTCAGTTCATGAAATTGATCCTACAGTTACATTCTTACAAGGCCACAAGGATGTATAAATAAATGTTCCCTATAGCATTTTTTTTTTTACTACAACAAATATAGAACAACATAAAAGTCTATCAGGAGGAGTTTTCTTAAACTAAATGTAACACATTCGTATACTTAAATGCTATGCAGATACTACTACTACTAATATATATCATTTTTCATATATACAAACATAGACTATAAATTAGGTAGCAGCTGCAGGAGTAACTAGATGCTAGATGCAAGCTGAACTCTCACTTGAGTGGGGGAAAAAATCCTCCCTTTTGAATGGGAAAAATCCAAAGGAGATTTCAAATGTGTTCTTAGCATAACACTTTAGTGAAAGACATTTACAAAATCCTAAATAAATGGCAAAACATTCTATGTTCATAGATAGCAAACTCAGTGTGATAAAGACGTCAGTACTCTCCAAAAATGCAACACAATTCCAGTAAAAATCCCAACAGATTAGGTGATCCCAAAATACATAAGGAGGAGGAAAGATTCTAGAACAGGCAAGTCAATGTGGAAGACTTATTCCACCAGCTATTAAGGCAAGCCTTCTTATTATAGACTCATTTTAAAAGGCATATTAAGTCCTATAAAGCTATCATAAATAAGACAGCATGACATTGGCACAGAGGAGAAAAGAGGCTAAAGGAAGAAGAGAGAAGACAGAAGTAGACGCCCTACATATATGTAGGTCACCAGAGAACAAACGCCATGTTGTAATGTCCATGGGAGAAAATCGAATTGCTGCTTCAAATCCCCCTCTACCTCCCCAAGGCCACGGTGATACCATCTTCTATTTCTTCTCGAAATCATGTTTACTTTTCTCACTCATGCTTTTAAAACTCATGGTTCGAACTTTGTTTCTGCTTTCTGTAACAGAAAAAAGTTCTCGAGATTAGAATGGCCTCAAAATAAATCATTATTAGATGGGACCCCCCAACTCAAAGCAAAATGTTTGGGATGGAGTTTCGACAGGGAAGGGATCTCTGCCTGCCTTAGCACGTATTTCTTCCTTATTACACGTCTGCTGACGCCTGAAATACTTTAGCTGGAGAAAATAATCATGTGTTCCAAATTGAGCAAAATGCTTAAAATGCAAATATCCATCTACTTAAATTCACATTAAGAGTGAAGGATGCTCCGAGGAAAAGGAAAAGATCTGGCAAAGTGTCTGAGGAAGTGGCAAAAGGGCACCACCACCAAATGCAAACGGTCAAGTGGAAAAGAAAAGCAAAGGCTGGGAATTTACAAAGACAAAATTTGTTTCACATGTTTAGACTTTTACTGTTAAAAAGTAACAGACTTTTTCACTGTTAGAGACTCAGAATGTTACTGTTTCCATTGTGAACCGAGTTGAAAGCCTGTAGAAGTGGCCAAAGTTGACTCAGTTGGTTACAAAACAGTGCTATTAAGTTTTAGGTTCCCTATTTGACCCTATTTCTGTCTTCCGGCCAGGGATTATTAGGTTCTTTATGTGGCAAGCCATTGTGTGACAGTTGTAACATTTTAGGATGCTTTCTTTGATCGTTGGTTCCAAAATAAGAGTGCAGATAGATTCATGGTAATCACTCTTTGATTGCGTAAATATTTATTAAGCTCCCCGTGTAGTTTACATATTTTGCTGCTGCTAAGTTTCAGATGAAAGTTTCGGGGACTAGTACTTCAGGCAGAGATTAAACACATGGTCCCTACATGCATGGAACCCTTGGTCTAGCATAGATTATAGAAAAATAAATGGAAAATTATTTCACAGTCTAACACGCTCTGCAGGGGCGAAGATCCTATCACAAAATCCTAGCTCAGGAGAAAGAGACAGATGAAACCTTTCGAAAAACGGTGAGTTTCCAGCAGCATGACCTGTGTGTGTGAGTCCCGATTGCAAAGGTAACAAATTACTAGAAATTCGGTAGGTTAAAACAACACAGATTTGTTATTAATATCTTATTGTTCTGGAGGCCAGAAGCCCACCTAGGTTTCACTGGGCTAAAATCAAGGTGTCCACAGTGTTGATTTCCTACTGGAATCTCCAGGGGAGAATCTATTCCCTTGCCTCTTCCAGCTTCTAGGGGTTGCCCCGTCTCTGGACCATGCCCCACCTTCCATCCTCAGAGCCGGCAGTGGCTGGGCAAGTCTGCATCCTGACCCCATTTCTCTGGACCTGATACTTCTGCCTCCCTCTTCTCTGTTGAAGGACCACTGTAATTATATTGCCCCCACCCAGGACCCAGGATAATCTTATTTTAAGGCTATCTCATTAGCAACCTTAATTCCACCATGCCCCTCATCATAACACATTCACAGTTTCTAGGATTAGAACAAAGATGTGTTTGGGGGCGTTATTCTGCCTACCACAATGTTAAACATCTTTTTTTATGAAATAGAAGAACCTTTAAGTATAAAATA